CAGGTCCAGAGTGGAGAAAAGATTCGATTCCGCCAACGTGTCGAGTGTGTCGTCAATTCGAGGCAAAGGATAGCTGTCCTTCTTCGTCACGTTGGTCAATCGGCGATAGTCCACACAGAAACGAGTGCTTCCATCTTTCTCCTTCACTTGTACCACTGGTGAAGCCCAAGGACTATTGGATGGCTCGATTACCCCGTCTTGTTCCATTTCCTGGATGATCTTTTCTGCAATTTCTCTCTTGGCCTGTGATAATCTTCGAGCTGGTTTGTAAAGCACCCCTTTTCTTGGGTTGGCCTATACAGGGGTCTTCACAAAGTTACTGATTCACTGGGTTCGTGAATACTTAGGCAGGAGTAAGATTGGTGTATATAGACATTAATACGGCAAAATACATAAATCTCTATTCAGCATTCATCATAATATGGACAGGCAGAGTTGACATGGAAGTAAAACAGATGTGCTCACATATTGGTTGGTTATACATGATGACAGGATGATGTACACTCGCACTATTATACCGGGTCACTTTGAAAAGTTAATACAGTTTTATAAAAGTTCAATAATTCTCGATACACATCTATTGCAGCAACACAATATGTTCACTAGGTACAGACTTTTGAGCAATTTCTAATATCAACTACATATCACGTATAACTAGACTGTTTAGCAGAGTTACTGGTTCAAGACATGAGATTTCGTATCAAGAGTTCGATCAAGACTGACTTTTATGCCAAAACTCCCTGCTTTTATACTGAGATTTGGTCATAAATTTAATCAGAATTCATCAGATTTTCACTCAGTTGAATTGACCTCGAATTAAAGTGCAAAAAGAGTGGCTTCGGATGTTTTCAGAAATAGTTTTTAATTTAATGGAATTTTATCATTAATCATTTTGCAAAAATCGATGTCAGTTGACCTTGGGTATTACTTAAAATTAAGTACAGAAGAAGGATTTCAATGTTCATCTGAAAAGATTTTAAACTAATTGATTTTTGTAATAATTCATCTGGCCTCTACCTATCTTTGGCCCGCCCCTCTGCTGTGGCTCAGTTACTTAGGTTATAAATTCCCTGTACACTCTTTTCTAACTTTTATTCACATCTTTTTGCTGTTCCTGTTCGATTCCCCAAGTGCCACTATCAACAATGTTACAAAGGTAAAGTACCTAATAATAAACCTATTACATATATGCATTTCTTGGGATTTGGAACAAATATGCATATTTCCAACAAGAGTTAATTCACGTAATAATATTGCCCTATCAATCTATCCTTCTAATACTTATTGAATGCATTCGAGTTCAGATACCTAAATATTTATTGACCTAATTAAAACGACCTTCTACTTCCTATAAGTGTAAAGTGTCCAGCATTAGTATTCGTTATGATAGTTTTGGTCGAGTCTTCGCGTTCATTACATTCGATCCATCCCTCGTAGACGAAATTCCATATTTTAACATATGAATTTCGTTGCTATATATAGATTATGATCTGTATTTCTTTTCAGCGCTATTATTACGTGAACTTCACCCATGAAACATCAAGAGCATCTTACAAAATCCTCGAAATTGTTTATATAAAGTTGTGACCCAGTAAATTATAGTATCAACAAATAAAATGAATGAGATATTTGAATGATCTTTGGTAGGTACCTGCAGACCTCTCTTACGCTAAATATATAGAGTCGTTTATGCAAAATTCCTATACCTGAATACCTAATAAAACTAGGTTTCTATTATAAATTAAAATTATTGCATTTTTTTTCACACTATACTACTACCTACGAGAATTTTAGACAATTTCCAATATCTATACTTATCTCTACTCTGGTAAATAATTATGAAATAAAAATAATTACATGCGAGTATAGTCTAACGAAACCTATATCTATAAAATCAAATCACTCACTCAGTTGACGTTTAATGGTAACCTTCAGGTTACGTCCCATTTGATAAACCCATCGCTCGGTCGGGGTGTTTGACCCCTGGGCTTCTTGGGTAGATCCAGGCTGGTTCAATGGATAGTCCTCTCGCTGTCCTGGGTTAGGTGCCGGGTATGGCACAGAACGGTTCAGGGGTGGCCTTTGAGGTATCATAGGCCCAACACCTGGGGCGATGTTTTCGTGCTCATAGGGTGGTGGTGGGGAGTTGGATCGCCCTACTTTTGTTGAATGGCCCTTTTGAGAATCCAATCATGGTCCTCTGCCTGCCCTTGTGACCTAGTATTATATCTAGACTGCGATACTTGAGTATTCATATTGTCCTGTGTTTTGTTGTGCTCCAGGTCTTCCTCACAGTTTTCTTCATTCACTTCCTCATTCTTTCTTTCATTTTCAGAATTATCTTCTTCTTCTCCTTCTGCCTCCTCTTCGTTATCCTCTTCTTCTTCTTCTTCTGAAACATCAGTGGTTGATATTTCAAGTGGTTCGTCATTATCGTGTTCTTCTATATTTTCGTGATCCTCAGGATTTAATTCTTCATTGTATGTGTTAAGATGCTCAGAATTCTCTTGATCTGTTTGTTCTTGCGGTAATCTTTTGATTTTACTTGGATTAGTATCAATAACTGGTTGAGGGGTTCTTTCTACCAGATGTTTAGGAATTGTTCGATCATTTTCTTCCTCATCCATATCCTCCAAGCCCCGATATCTTTTTAGTCGGTTGGCATGTACCACTTGATCTTTTTTTCCATTGATTTCTTTAATACGATTGGGGTGCTATTCTCGAGTTGAACGCGTATACGAATATTGGTCGTCAGCGACAAATTTCGTATGACTCAGACGAATCGGTATTCTCGAACGGTCGGAGTTGAAGCGTATACGAAAATAAGACGTATACTAGTCGTACGTTGTACACGGATGGGTCCAACCCATGCGAGAATTCTAAAGCGAACACGAAATTCGATGGAACATGCGCATTGTGTATTTATTTTGTCAGTTTTTCATAGGTTAGGTGTCATAATCATAATCAATATCATTAATATTCATCATATAGACTACACAAATATCCATAAACAAACTAAAATAAAAATGGCTAATTTGAATCAGCTCGCGAGAATAGCTGGTATTGAAGCATTGGAAAATGCAGAGCTTCTCAATGAACATAGGAGAAGATTTCGTGTATATGATGATGCATGGGAGGAGACTGAGAAAGGTTTTGTCAAACTTTACAGACTGACAAAAAGAAGTGCTTCTGACCTCATTGATTTGCTAACTCCCCATATGATTCATCCAAGTCGATCATCAGCCCTGAGTATTGAGAGAAAAGTGAGTAGGTATATGTATTGAGTTTGGGATAATTTTATATTCTATTCTCATGATTAAGATGTACAATGATTCTTTTAGGTATTGACAGCCCTTAGATTCTTCGCAGCTGGATGTTATCAACTTGATGTAGGCAATAACATCAATCATGGCATGAGTCAGCCTTCAGTTAGCAGATGTATAGAAGAAGTTAGTTCTGCTCTAAATTTGCCTGAAATTTCAAATCAGTATGTTAGGATGCCAAGAAATGTTGATGAAATTCGTCAAATACGCACTAAGTCAGTATAATACTCCTATTCTAACATTATCTTATTTAAATATGTTTTCATAGATTCTATCTTGAACATGATTTTCCTGGTGTGATTGGTTGTGTGGATTGCACACATGTTGCAATCTTTCCTCCTGAAATTCAACATCCCATATATCCAGAGGCAATGTATGTCAATCGCAAGGGTTATCATTCTATAAATGTTCAACTGGTAATATATATATACAAATATCACATTTTGTAATTAACTTGCATTTCACAATGAATTTTCTTTTTAGATTTGTGATGCTGATTTAAAAATCATCAATGTCTGTGCCAGGTACCCTGGAAGCACCCATGACAGTTTTGTGTGGAATAACAGTGCTGTATTACCATTTATGCAAAATCTTCATAGAAACAATAACCAAGTCTTTCTTTTGGGCAAGTGATTTCAATATTAATAATAATAATAACATTTATTGATCTCAAGAAACATACATGTTTATGGAGGGACACAAAAAAAACAAATAATTATATCAAGTATCCAATAAAATGGAAGGTAAACAGTTAGATCAGAATTAATCAATAAAAAGAAGAGACCTAAATTGATACATATATTTCTTCAGTTCAGATGGAAGAACTGTTCTTAGAATTGATGAGTTTACTAATGTTTATTCTTTGTAGGTGATTCAGGATATGCCTTAAGACCCTGGCTCATGACACCAATTGATAATCCAGCACCAGATTCCCCAGAAGAGAGATATAATAATAGGCAAAAGAGCACTAGGTCTCTTATTGAAAGGTGTAATGGGGTGCTGAAATTGAGGTTCAGATGTCTCCTTAAACATCGAGTTCTTCATTACAGCCCAGAAAAGTCCTCAAAAATTATTAATGCATGTGTTATTTTACATAACATATGTATCAATAATAACATTCCCCCTGTTGAGTTAGGCGAGGAACATGGAGATGAGAATCTTGATTTAGGCTTGTATGAACCTGAAAACAATGCAGTAGCACTTCCAAATCCTCGAAATCCTGAATTAACAGCTGGAAGATTATTGAGAGAGAGGATTATTAGAACTTATTTTACAATCAGATAATTGTAGATTTGATGCATTATTATTTTTGTATTTCAGATAATATATATTGAATTGATTTCTGTCTGCTCATTTCAAGAAGGAAAATAATATAATTTGTGTATAAAAAAATTGAATTTGATTTTCTTCTTTATCAGTCCTTGAAAATTTCATGTTGCATTTGCATGCATAATGGTCCTATGTTATGGAATAAAAGATGCAATGTTCAATAGGTGAATTTATTAATAAAAAAACACACAAATTAACAAAATCTATACACCAAAATCAACAAGAACAGTGGATTCTCTAGGTGAAACAAAACATATAATTTGAGTTCTCAGGAACAAAACATCACATAAAAAAAACTTTGGGTACTCATATAAAACTTATTGCAGAGATTCATCCAAACAAACAAAGCTAGGTATCATAACATGGGGAATCAGGCAAGGATAATTGTGTTTTTGACATGTCCTCTTTACACTTGGCAATTCTTTCCAATGCAGAAGCAATTCTTAATTTTGCTGTTATGTCCTGCTCATAAAGTTCATTTTTTCTTTTATAATAATGTTCTCTCAATGAGATATCCCTTTCCGTTTGGGCTGCCAGTTGGGATGTGGCAGATATGGTTTGTTCCAGTCTTTGTATTCTCCTGGGCCTCTTTGTTTTTCCACTACTTTGCTGTTTATAAACTGGTGGTACTTCCAGAGGAGGATCATTTTCATCAGCAATATTTGGATTTTCTTTCACATGAATTTCACTATCCTCTTTTTGGGACACTCCAAAGGCATAATCATGGTCTATGCTAGTTTGATCAGGTAACATGGTCAATACATCAAATTCAACCAAAGATTCTGATATCCCAGGATGACCATCAACTATTACTTGACCCATTATTCCAAGTACTTCTTCTTCTTGTGTAATAATATTTATATCTGTTGGTGGTCCTCCACCTGTTCTTTTGCGATGTTGCTTGATCATGCTACTTTTGGATTTTGTTCTTGTTTTGATATCATGCCAAGTCTGAAATATTGGAAAATTAACCAATATACCTAATACCCAAAAATTTTTGACTTACTTTACGCCATTTCTTCCAATCCTTATGGGCACCTGCTGGAAATGCATTCAAAGTATTCGCCAAACTCTGCCATAATTCTTGGGCTTTCTTGAAAGTGAATTCGTTGGTGAATTTTCCCGAATTAAGTTGAGGATGAAGTTTGATAAAATCTACCAACTCCCTCCGTTGATCTGGAGTAATATTTTCCCTCGCGATTTTTTCCATTTTGTTATTTCAAACTGTATAATATGAAATGTAAAGATTACGGAGAATGAAAAACAAAACAACTTCTCTCAACTGATTATAGGTTAAATTATTCCATATTTTGGGAAATAAATAGGATTTTCATTTTATCATGTTGGGTACATTGCCACTTACACAGTGTTGTCATATTTTCATACGTTCAAAATGTACGTATTCGAAGATAAAAGTCGTATGGCGTTCAAGAATGCGGATCTATCATAGTATACGATTTCATCCATTCGAAAAATTACGTATACGCAGCGTATACTCAGCTTTGCGTATGAGTTCGAGAATAGCACCCCTGCTGGTCCTAACACGTCAATTATTCGGTACGGTCCTGAGTACTTGGGATAAAATTTATGAGCTAAATGACGTCCGGCCTTGACGGCGGGCGAGTAAAGATATACACGATCTCCTAAGTTGAGTGATGTCGGTTTGGCTTTTCGGTTATATCTTTGCACCTGTTTTTCGGCTTGTTTATTCAGATTTGATCGAGCCACTTCATGCGCTATTTGCATTCTCTGAACCATTTCTGTTGCATAATTGTCATCTAAGTCATAACGAACCTGTGCATGTTTAGTTATTAAATGTAATGGCATTTCCATATCTCTACCGTACATCAAGAAAAATGGAGTTTCTTGAGTTGATTCGTGCACGTGATTGCGATATTCCATGGTGGCGAATGGTAACCATATGTCCCACGAATCGTTGTCTTCGGTCACATAATGCGATAAAGTGGTTTTTAGAGATCGGTGCATTCGTTCTATCATTCCGTTTGATTGAGGGTGATATGGAGTAGTTTGAAGTTTCTTGATTTCCAAAATTTTACATATCTCTTTAAATAATTTTGAGACAAACTGCTGACCGCGATCCGTTAGTAATTGTCGAGGTGTGCCATATTTTGTGATGATGTTTGTTACGAAAGCTCTAGCTACCGTATCTGCTGATATATTTGGAAGCGGAATACATTCTGGGTATCTTGTTAGGTAATCCATGACAGTGAGGATATATTTATTTCCATCTTTGGTTTGGTTGAGAGGTCCAACTGAATCCATAGAAATTCGCCCAAACGTAGCGTATGGAACTGGTAGTTTCTGTAGTTCTGCGGGAGGTTGGTAATTGGTTTTCCGTAAATTGCAAGAATGGCATGCATTGCAATATTTTATAACATCTTGTCTCATCCCTCTCCAGAAGAAATCCCGGTGTATTGCCTCTAGGGTTTTCTTTTGTCCTGCATGACTAGACAAAGGGGAGTCATGGTATATTTGTAGAATTTCCCTCACCATGGCTTTAGGTGCATACAATTTGCCATGGCGTTCCCCTTCTTCTCTCTTAACGTAAAGGATATTATCTGGGCATAGATAAAATTGGTTATCGTCGTCCAATACTTGTGGTATTATTTGCGAAATGATAAGGTCTGCTCTCTGCAATTTACTAAGTTTCTCTTTTGTCCAAATAGTCGATAACATTGGGCTATACTCCTGCTCTTCTCCCTGAGTTACCAAAGCTATTGCAGCTAATGGACTACAAGTTGCCTCTGTGGATGTCTCCTCTAGTTCTACCTCTCTTAGCCTGGTTAATGCGTCAGCGTTTCCATTTCTCTTTCCCGGGCGGTATTTGATATTAAAACTATATTCCATCAAGAACATTGCCCATTTGGCAAGTCTTGAACTGGAATCTTTTATGGTTAAAAGATACACTAATGGTCGGTGGTCGGTAATAATGGTGAAATGAGTTCCAGTCAGGTAACACCTATACTTTTTCACAGCCCAAATTACTGCCAAACATTCACGCTCTATTGTTGAATAGCGTCTTTCTGTTGAGTTCAAGGTTCGGCCTGCATAACAAATTGGATGTTCTATATTATCATATTCTTGACTCAAGATTCCACTAATAGCAGTAGCGGAGGCATTTGTATTTACAATGAATTGTTTTTGGAAATTTGGGTACTTCAAAATAGGAGGAGTAATGAGAGCCTGTTTCAGATGTTGGAAAGCCTGTTCATGTGGTTCCTTCCAAACAAAGGGGGTATTTTTCTTGGTGAGATTCGTAAGTGGTTGAGATATTTCAGAAAATCTCGGCACGAATTTGCGGTAAAACCCACAAAGTCCTAGAAAAGCTCGTATTTCTTTTACGGTGGATGGACGGGGGTAATTACGGACTATCTCTGTTTTTTCGGAGTCTGTCTGACATCCAGCTGCTGATATAATGTGTCCTAGATACTTGGCTTCATTCTTCATAAATTGGCATTTGGTTGGTTTGAATTTCAAATTACTGTCTCTCATTCTATCAAATACATGTCTCAGTCTGTTGAGGTGTTCATTTAGGTCAGATGAGCTGAACACTATTACGTCATCCAAGTAGACAAGACATTCGTTTCCAGTTAAATGGGCTAGAACCGAATACATTAGTCTTTGCCAAGTTGCTGGACTATTCTTTAAGCCCATAGCCATGCGATTGAATTCATAATGGCCAGTAGGGGTGGTGAATGCACTTTTCTCCTGATCTCGTGGGTCGAATTCTACTTGGAAATATCCACTAGCCAAATCTAACACACTGAAAATACTGGAGCTAGTCAATTGATCTAAGGTTTCTTGGAGATTTGGTAAGGGAAAGAAATCTGTTTTTGTGATTGCATTAAGATCTCTATAGTCGATACATAGACGAAATTGGGGTTCTTCTCCAGGATGCAATTTCTTCTCTACCAATATTGCTGGAAATGACCATGGTGATGAAGATTCACGTATGATTTCATTTTCTAGAAGATCTTGAATTTCCTTGTCCAGTATTTTCTGACGTTGGTAGGGTACTCGGTAAGGTCTTTTTGAGATAGGTGGTACATTTTCTGTTATAATTCGATGTTTCACTCGAGAAGTACAGGTCAATTTGTGTGTTGGAGCTCTGAATATGTCGATATATTCCGTGATCAATTTTACAAGTTTTTCTTCTCCTACTCCTTGTGGATTAGATAGCTGAAGCTGCTCAAGAATAGGTTTAGTATCTTGCATGCTCACAGAGCCAATTGTTTTTTTTTCTTTTTTCCTGTTTACTTGGGACTTCATATTCTGTTTCAAATGCTCTGGCTATTATTTGTTTTCGCTGAATCACTACAGCACAATTGAGAACGTTAATCAGTTTTACAGGTATTTCTTGGTTCTTGTGACAAATGGATCGGGCTACCAATATTCCGTTGATCGAGTCCATAGATTCAATTACGATAGAATCGGTGGTAAGTCGTTTCGGCTTCTTGAGTAGTGCTGGTTGTATGGTCATTGTCCTTGGTGGTAAGTGAACATCTTCTTTGAAATATACTCCCACTCCGTTAATGTGGTAATTCATAGGCTTGGATATGCATCCATGTGCCTTCTCATTTTGTGTCCAAGGCACTACTGACTGTGGGAGACTGGTATCAGTTATCTTACTTTGATGTTCAACTTCCTGATTTATTCATCCGTTTTAATTTAGAGACTTCTTCTGTTGGGTACTCGCTGCTTCTTTGACTTCCACTGTCGGTGTTTCCAGACTTAGAGGTGCATCTTTGTGCCCTATCCTCTTGTATCTGCGAAACAGGTGCAGTCCTGAGGCTATTTTCTCGACTAACGATTGGTTCTCCACTACGATACTGTGTTCTGCTATCATTTAAGGACCCTTTGGAAGCTGCAGCCTTCCTTTCCTTTGACTTCTCTTCATACCTTGGAGTATCCGGGATGGATATTGCTGTTTGGTGAACCAGAGGACTGGAATTCCCCTGTTCACCGGAATTCGCTGCCAATTCCAGTGGCATCGAATTCATATCCTCCTTGAGTACGGTTGAAGTGAAGGCTTTCAAGGTATTCCTGATTTCAACCAGATTATTTTCCATTTCAGCTAACCTCACTTTTATCTCTTTTTCTCAATCGTTATTTTCTTCTAATAACTTAATAACTTCATCTAGAATGAACATTTTCCCAGTTCCCCAATCGATTTTTGCTCCGAATCTTTGTAAAAAGTCTAATCCCAGCAGCATATCTGCTCTGAAATTCCCTGTCTCTATCAGGATGAACTCATGTTCAATGGTCTTTCTTGAACTCAACTGTATTGGTAAAATAACCTTTCCATTATCAATGATTTTCCTTCCCTGAATATCAACTAGACTAATATCGTTGTTAACTTGAATATTCAACCCCTGCACGATACTCGGCTTAACTAGAGATACTTGTGCACCTGAATCAATTAAAGCTGTCAAGTACTGACCTTCTACTTTAATTTTTGCTATGTTCCTGGGTTCCTCCTTTCCTTGCGTGCAACTTAGTATCTCTGCCGTCCTTAACTTCATTGTCGAGACACCTCGCTGGCAGCTACATGGCGGGGTTGAAATGCAGCTGCGGTCGTGTTTAAATTACCGGTGGAACGTCCTCCTCTACCTGCAGCTCGCCAGGTCCCAGTTGGATGACCTTGACCTCGTTGTTGGCTTCTGTCTGGACAATACCTCACTATGTGTCCAGATCTTTAACATCCATAACACACCCGGTTTCGGTTATTGCTGTTGATTCGTTCCTTGCAATCTCTGGCAAAATGTCCCATTTCCTGACATCTGAAGCAGTTAAGAGTGTTTCTTGACCTTGCATTCTGTTGATTTATTTCGCGTGAGTCCACCACCCTGCATCCTCGTTCCTGTATTTTGGTGAGATTTTTTATCGTCTCCTCTTTTTCTGCAACTCTCACCGCTTCTTCTAGTGTGGCGGGCTCCGCGGACAATACTTTTTTCCGTATCGGGTTGAGTAGGCCGAGAACAAATTGTGTGGTTGTATCCGCTGCTAATTTCTGTTTTATCAGGCGGTTGTCATCTGGTCTAGCGGTGTATTTTACATTCTTGTTAGCAGCAATTTTCAATCGGGCCAAAAATTGCCTGCAAGACTCACCATTTCGTTGTTTGCACTCAATAAACGCCTTCAGTGCTTGTCCAGGAAGTTGAACTACGCCAAACTGCTTACGTAAGGCCT